TTTACTTTTACAAATTTTCGCAATTACCCCTTTAGTGAACGATGACGCATCTATTTTTTTTACTAGAAAACTATCGGTTTTATCGAAAAATTACAAAAGGTAAAAAAGTTGCGCAATAAGTCAGTCTCCCCAATAAATATTTTTAAATAAATAATTTGCTTCATATAAAAAAATTCTAATAAAATATTGCAATGGGGTTGACTGTTTGACTCCTTTATAAAATACGCCAATGATCGAACAAATTTTGAAAAGTTGTCTCTTTATTAGTAGGATTCTCATACCAAGCTTCGTGTCTAGCATTCCCCATGCTAAAGAAAAAAATTAAAATGTGAATTTCAATCCCCTCCTTTAAGAATGTATATCGCCTCAGGGGTGCAACTTTCATATAATGTATTTTTACTTCAATCCTCTTATTTTTGGCTCTACATTCACTGGTACTATTTTTGCTACTTCATTTGAAAGCACCCTGTATAACAAACTTTTTGTACAGAATACAGAGTAATATAGTACGACATTAAACGTTGGAGGCATCACGGGTGTTACAGGATAACAACGCCCTCGTTCCAGAAACTGTCGACTTCGACTCAATTTTATTCATGTACACTCTAAGTACCTCAACTACCACAAAACCAGGTTATTTTCACGTCAGTGTAGTACATATTACGACTTACCTGGTGCCAGTATCGTCCAAAATATGATAGTTATCATAAAACCGATAGACACTGCCATCTGATGTAATACCCAATAAACTGGGTATAGCTTCAGGAAGCTATCGTGAATGTTCTTCGCAGAGAAAACGTTTGACAAGACGGTGGCACAGCTCAGAACAAATCCCAACGTAGCCTGAAAGGTAACCAGCGTGTATCCCCAATTTGTGAGGAAAATTGGCCAGGAAGATTCCATGAAGGTCATACCCCATGTTGTCAGCAGAAACGCAGCTACCGCGGTACGATAGATCAAATAGATGACGCCTGATTGAGTTTTGTTAGATTGCCACTAAAATTAAATAATAAAAAATTACATACATTAAAACATAACGTACGAGAATAAATTGAGATGAATATAATTCGAAATTATATTCAATTTGAAACAAGAAATAACTATTTGTGAAATATAAATGTAAATATTTTGCTTTATTTAAAATTCTTAAACTTTTCCGATTGTGTATACAAGGTATTTTCAAAAGTAGTAACACAACTGGTACCGTTGAATCTACAACTAAAAAGAACACGTTTTTCATAAAGATGACCTTAGTATTATGATCCCTTCTTAGGCGGGCGATAAAATATCCAGTAAAATATAGAAAAACGGCTGTAATTTGATAACCAAAGAAATGTCAGATTTTACACAAATTTTCTGCTAATACACGTACAAATTTTCAACAAGTTTTTTGAAAATTTCTACCACTTGACGATATAAGCACCCTCTAATTAATTTTTTGCTACATCTTTTTTGTTTGACAACCGCTTATGAACAAAAATATAAGATGAGTAGCAAATCCAAACTCGCAAAACTGACAAAAGATCTAATGACAAATTAAACTAATTAATTAGTCGCCTAATTAAATTTATCTTAATTGCTGTAATTGTGTGAGCAGTAATGCGAGAGAAGATTTCTCTTTAATGGTTAGTTTTAAAGTAAAAAGGTGGGAAGATAAAAGTTTTAAAATAAACCAAGCCGTCTGATACATACTTTTAAATACTGTAAAACAAAAATGTTGTAGCAAATAATTACCCAAAGGATGTTTGTGTCAACCCTTCCCAGGACAGAAATTTTCGAAAAATGATTGACCTGTATCTTTTGGTTTTCAAATTAAGTTCAGTCGTTTTTCCATACTTTTTTTGGAAACTTTGAAGGGTTGTATCTCCTAAGGCGTGAACACTTAACTAAGGTCATTTTTATGGAAAGCATGTTCTTTTTATCTGTATATTGAACGGTGACATTTATGCTACTTCTTTTGGAAATACCCTGTATTAGTTGCCGTGTTATAATTTGTTTTTTAAATTTCATATTAGGTACATTTACTTCGATAAATATTCCCCAAAATATTTAAATTAAAATTATAACAATAATAATTTCTATGTAAAAAATGTATAATTATTGATGATACCATAGAATCAGATAAACTAGGTACACATTTGTGTTTAGATAAAGAACAAAATAATACTTGCCTGTGATACTACAAATAATATTGGTTCAGAATGTACAGGCTTCAAGTTGTTCCAGGAAAAATGTTCTGTGATACTGCCTTTTACCATTTCGATAGATCTATTAAATATAATCAAAAATAATCAGTCAATTACATGAAATTATTAAATGGTGATTTTCAATACAATACATGGTTAATTCTTTATTTGTATATTTTGCCACCTGTCAAAAAATGAAAATTAATACAATAACCCTTTGTGTCATAAAGATCAGGCAAGGGTTTTATGAAAATAGTTTTGCCTAATCAAAAATCTCACTATTTTAAAACTAATTTTAAAATCTACTGTCATTCCAGGTTTTGGTAACGAAAACACATTGATCTTTGGAATCGTCAAGAACATATTGCAAATATCCAAATAAATAAAGAAAAAGGTTTGAAGACGTTTTTAAAAATTGTTTCAGTTTGCGGAAAAAATGTTAGGCAACTTTTTTCTTTAAAGTACAACTAGGAATCGAATGTACTGATATCTGAATATTCAATATATACAGGGTGATCCATTAACGGTAGGGAGCGGCAGTATACAAGGAAACTAGACGTGCTGCGATTGTGGGGTAAAAAATCTATTAACAAATACGGCCAAAAGAAATTGATTCAAAATATTTTCAAGTTTGTAACTTCACCGCTAGGGGGCGCAACTGCTATAGTGTTACAGAAAATCGTCAGTTTTTCGAAATTTCGCTTACATAACCTAAGTTGAAAATACACTTTTTAGATACACTGTTAAATCCTTCACAAGTTTTGTTTGAACTTCTTGTTATTATCATAGCAACGCCAGTATGAAGGACGCCATCATGAAATTTTTAAATTGTCATAACTTCTAAATGCCTTAATCGATTTCAAGAAACGACGGCTCATGTATATTTATGATCTGGGAATAAAAATATTATTTTCCTGCGCAACGGTAGATCACGCTAATTAGAAAAGTTTTGTAATTGTCTCCGTTTACTAAAAAAATTAAATGCAACGATATAGGTTTTTTTCATGGTTTCATGGACTATTTACTAAAGAAAACAAATACACAAACCGAAGGTCGATGTCATTTTTCGTTTTCAAGTTATATTTAAAATAGTGAAGTTGTGCTATACATCCTCCTTTATTGAGTTCTTTAAATAATAATGACATAGTCCAAGCCAAAATTAAATTGTAAAACTATACCAAGCTTGTCTTTAAAAAAGTACTTGCCACATTTTGAATTTTTTGATAACTGCAATGTTTAATTTTTTTATTAATTCCAAATATCTAAGTAGGTAGTTATAAAGGTTACTGTTTCCATAACGAGGCAGGCTGTGCCCTATCAAAATAGACAAATGAAAAATTATGTCAAACAATATGTGACAGCTATTGCTTTGTGCAAAATTATTGTCATTTGTGTGAGAAAAATACTTGTGTTCTACATGAAATTCCTAGGTCTCTAAGTCCCTAATATTTATTTGGGGATTTACATGGCCACAAGCCAACACATTAATAATATTATATTCCGTTCTTGCACGGCGATGTCTTCCTACAGAATGTATAGTGACATCTGGCTAAACGCTGAAATACTTCTCTGGTGTGGCGTATTCTACGAGGGTAACGCAAAACGCATTCTTTTGAAGCTATAACGGCATTTTGTAAACATTGAAAATAAACTGGCAACATATCATTCGCTTCCAGATTCGTAAAAGGCATTTTCTTTCTTCACAAGTACTGTTCCAACACAAATAACACTAATTTTGTACGTAGCAAGAGCAGTCACATTTCATTTGACATAATTTTTCAGTTTCTCGTTATTTATGACCTGCACCCAAACAAAGTTCAATAAGTTTCTCGATGCCTCTTCCGTAGAAATACTCCGGTTTTAACTCGAAAAACTCATCCAACCAAGCTCATAACTCAATGTCGTTGCTAAAACAAACATCGCGCAAGGAGTTTATGACAAAGAGTCGGAAGAGGCGAAAATCAGAACTGCGAAATCTGGAGAGTTAAAGCGATGAAGAAAACGTTCGATGACCATGTGCTGATCGATGATTACAGAACAAACCAGCGGTGACTGCGGAGCGTTGATTTTTAAAAACGGACATTATTTATTCCCCAACCCATTACTTGGTGGTGTCGAGATTGATGGTGCTGTTTCCAAGTTTCTTAAAAAAAATTTAAATTCAGATAACTTTTATCTTTGCTTAATTAAATTCCAAACCCCAATTTCATTCTAATTAAGTTTCACTTTCTTTTTAAGGATATTTCAGAACATATTATAGTGGTAACTTACCTTATATGCTGTTCATTGGTCTTCTACTTCAGGGGCATTGTTGGTCACTCACAATTACATCACAGCTGTCAGCTCATTTTACAGGTTTGTACAGAGGTAACAATTCTAAATTTTTGATATCAATTGTGATACACTGATAAATTTACTATAATGGCTTATCACGTTTATCACTAATTTTGTTATTGATGGCAGAAGTAGGTAATTTAAGTACATGATTTTTATAATTTGCTAAATAATATTATATTTGTAATCGCGACAAGTACGAGTTGAACGTACTAACAGGAGCAGGTTTATAGGTACTGGTTGATGTTTTTGGATTTTGATGTTTAGCTATAATTGAACAAAATAATTTAAGTCATCTTATCGTCAAAATATTTAAACGAAATTATATTTTTGATAAGAAGAACTTTTTAAATTATTCCATAATTCTAGTCAGTTATCAGCTGCTAGCATTAGTGCGCTTAAACGGAATTAGTTGGAATACAGGGTGTTAAAAAGGTGTACAAAGATTTAAAAGATAAAGTGTATACGAAAAAATAAGAAGAAAACAAATACGAGAAATATAATGAGAACAGTGTATTATAGTGATTCACATATCTCACACAAATAGTCTGAGAGGTTAGATTTTCTTCTGGACATGCCATTTAATTGTTAAACAAAAGTATTTAGTTTGTAGTGTAAACAATGTTGAGATTTAAAATAAAAATATACAGGGTGTTTCATAATATATGCGCAGGACTTCAGGATGTGATAGCTCGTCCAAAAATTTGAAAAAAAGTTTGTATTAACTTACCCTTTAAAATGCACAATTTTCGAGATACAGGGTGTTGAAATTGTAAAAAAAATTTAGTTTTTTGCGAATATCTCCGGAACCGTTTATCGTACAGAAAACAGCTTTTGTAAGCATTTACTACTCATAATAAGCGATGTTCTGTGTGAGAAAAAATTGTTTTCTAAGTCATAATTGGTGAAGATTTTGAAGGGGAAGTGGGTGTTTTTCTCCCCAACTTCTACGCCACTGGAAAAAGTACGGTTTTGAGACGCCTATTTGAACCGCCAATGTTTTCTACACAAAAAAAGTACTCTCGGTCATAAGCTCTAAAGTTGACCGTTTTTGAGAAACATCTACTTTTATGTTGAAAAACATGGTCAATTTTATGAAATAAAATTTTTATTTTACTAAATGTATTATAATTTTTTTATCAAGTAGGCTATAAATTTTAAAACAAAAGCTACCTCCTGTCAAAATAACAATTAGTTTGTACCTGCGAAAAGTCAATTTGTATTACAAAAGTAAAAATGAATTACACAAACGCTGAAATGTGAGAAATGCATTACCTTTACGGAATGGCGAGCGGTAATTCAGCAGAAGCAAGGCGGTTGTAACAAGAAAGACATCGTGATCGCCAAGTACCACATTATAACTTGTTTCAACACATTCACCAACGACTATGGGAAAATGGAAATTTTAAAAAGAATACTGCTGATAATGGGCGGCGTATGGAAGCTGCAAATGCCCAAGTAGAAGAGGCTGTCCTCAATGAAATTGAAGAAAATCCGATCACAAGTACCAGAAAAATTGCTCACAACTTAAACATACCTCACTCAACGGTTTGGAGAATTTTGAAAAGACAACTTTTGTATCCCTACCATATCCAAAGAGTACAAGCCTTATTGCCAAGAGATTTTCCGCTAAGATTGGCTTTTTGCAGATGGATGCAAGACAAAATAGCTCAAAATCCTCAGTTTGGAGCCGAAGTTATGTTTACCGATGAAGCATCTTTCTCGAGAGATGGTATTTTCAATTTTCACAATAACCACATATGGGCTGAAGAAAATCCACATGAAATTGCAGAAGGCAATCATCAGCAACAATTTTCCGTGAATGTTTGGGCTGGCATTGTCGGTGATCATTTGATAGGCTCACATTTTTTACCGAACAGATTAAACGGTGCAGATTATCGACAATTTCTAGAAGAAGTACTGCCGGAACTGCTGGAAGATGTACCGCTTCAAGTAAGACAAAACATGTACTTTATGCATGATGGAGCTCCGGCCCACTTTAGTTTGGTTGCTCGCCAATACTTGGACGACGAATACCAAGACCGTTGGATCGGTCGAGGAAGTTCCCACCCTTGGCCCCCGCGATCTCCCGAACTTAATTGTTTAGATTTTTTCTTTTGGGGCCATCTCAAAACCCTAGTCTACGCTACTCCAGTTGAAAATGTTGATCAATTAAGAGAACGCATTGTTGCATCTTGCGACATAATTCGGAACACTCCGGAAATTTTCTTGCGTGTTAGACAGTCAATGCGTCGAAGAATTGCTGCGTGCATTGAAGCTAACGGAGGACATTTCCAACATTTAATTTAACTGTGTACGATTTGTTTTTTTTTTTAATTTTGCAACTATGAAGTTAACGTTTGGTTTTGTTACTTGGTCTAACGATTAAATAAATTTTGTTTTATTGGTAAAAAGAATTTATTTAAAAAAATTGACCATGGCTTTCAACATAAAAGTCGATTTTTCTCGAAAACGGTGAACTTTAGAGCTTATGACCAAGAGTACTGTTTTTGTGTAGAAAACATTGGCGGTTCAAAACCGTACTTTTTCCAGTGGCGTAGAAGTTGGGGAGAAAAACACCCACTTCCCCTTCAAAATCTTCACCAATTATGACTGAAAAAATTTTTTTCTCGCACAGAACATAGCTTATTATGAGTAGTAAATGCTTACAAAAGCTGTTTTCTGTACGATAAACGGTTCCGGAGATATTCGCAAAAAACTAAATTTTTTTTACAATTTCAACACCCTATATCTCGAAAATTGTGCATTTTAGAGGGTAAGTTAATACAAACTTTTTTTTTCAAATTTTTGGACGAGCTATCACATCCTGAAGTCCTGCGCATATATTATGAAACACCCTGTATAGGGTTTGTTTTTTGTCTTCATATTAAGAAACAGCTTACCTCTCCATCATAATGATGAAGGCAAAAAACACAATAGAGGCTTGTGCTGGAGTCTCACTAGAGCCTCCCTTAGATATTTTCATAGTAAAAAAAATACTTAACTAAAATTTAGTTTACAATGTTATCTAGATAATTCAATAGATTAGCCTTATGAAATACATTCGATTTGCAAAATTCATTTAAACAACACTGAATGCATCCTTCTAGCTCGCTTCTACATTTGCAAAGTGTTTACAGTGGTGGTCATGGTTACCGTCGCGCAACAGTGAAAGACGGAGTGGGAGTAGTGCATATTTACTATGCTTTGGACTCTGTTTCGTCCGCCGATAACCAAATAATAGCTATTCACCGCGTTTCTTTCCTATTAAACGTAATTTGTTTACGTGTGGGGCAAAATTTTGTTTTCTATATATTGTTTCTTGTGTGTAAGATTGTAGAAGTTTAAATTATATTGTAAAGACAGATTAACAGCATTTGTAATGCTATCTATTGATAAATCAATGGTGCTGGAAATACCCAAACTTTAATGAACAAGTAATTGACAGTTTATTTCGGATAAAAGCAGAATAATGGACTTTTGACTATAAAAAAATAGTGTTACTTAAAATGAAACTATTCAATTATATTTGTTCTTTTTTTTTTCGCAATACTCAGTACCTAAATTTTTCCGCCCTCCCTGGTATGGAAGTAAAGAGGCGCACTGAAAAGAATACTACTGTTGTATAATACTGAATGAAAATGCAGGTATTTAAAAGAGCGTAAACATTGTAAAAGCAGGGTACTCCAAAAAATAAGAAAAAAGTTAACATCCTAAAACGTTTCTCTTAAAGACGAGGTATTAAATGGAAAACTAAAGTTAAATGAACAAAATACTTACGAAATGGCTGCCTAGAACACCAGACCTGAATATGCTTGGCATCTTCATTTGGGGTTACCTTAAGAAACCTATACCCTTCCTCTAATAATATATTTTTCACGAAATATATTTTTTTAATTTTTAACATTTTATCAAATTTTTTTTTCATCTCAGTAAGTGCCCTATTTTTACCAACATTTTGACAAGAAGACATAACGTTTCCGACCTTATATTTATTTGAACTTTTTTCTTATTTTTCGATTTTTAAAAATTTTCTTTAACTCCCTGTACACTTCCAGAATTACTTTCCACAACGCACATATTTTGTATCTCATCTTTCTCATCTTTCGTCCAAGTAAATATCATTTATATTAAGCAAACAGCATCCACGCCTACGTCTGCCAAACTGGGTCAAATGCATTAACACGAATTGATTTTCACCTATGAATAATTTGAATCACCTACTAATTTGATAATACGAGCAAAACGTCATGGAGTTTGCCAGACAATACGGTCGTGAAAGGGATAAAGCAGATTGACTATCTGGGGACAGGGTTGCTATTTTCGGAGATAGAAACAAAATATTAAATATAAGAATCGTTTGTCTGAGAAGGGAACATTAAAGAAGCGTAATATAACATGAGAAATATCATGTGCACAGGTTTTGTAAACGTTACAACTGAAAGTTATAAAAACAGGGAATATTTAACAAAATAAAATTAAGAGAGATGGCATTGTTAAAATTTAGTGTTTTATAAATAAATCCCTACAGCTAACAAAAGATGGCATATGAAACATTCATCTCAATATTTTTTTGTGCAACAAAAACATTACCTGACATTGAAGACTGCCCACAAAAATATATTACATATCGCAATCGGGATTCAACTTCAGCGTAATATAGATTTATTAGCTGATGAATGTTTAAAACTGTTCTAAGATTTCTAAACTGATAAAGTACAGAATTTAATTTAATAACTATATGCTCACAATGAGACTTCCACGTTAAACATTCGTCAATATAAAGCCCTAAAAATTTAACACTTTCTGTACCTCTTGTCATACGATTACCGTTTATTTGCAGATCAAGTTCTTCACAAGTGTTTTGCCAATTATGAGACCATAATGCTAACGTTTTTTCAGAATTTAGAAAAAGCCTGTTTTCACAAAACCACTCATTAAGGTCATGCAGAACATTATTACATTTATTTTTCAGTATATTATTTCCTTTGTCAGATACCACTATGGAAATATTGTCAGCATCTCATTGGGAGATCAAACCAATCAGCAACATGTCGATATGTACCGATTAATATATTTAAAAAAAGAACACCCATTTATTGTATATCCAACAATCTATTGTGGTAATCATCTCTGTGATGATATTCTAATCAATCAATCTGCTATATCTTTTATAGACCATTTTTCTAAACTCTAAAATAGCTTAAATTAACATCTATTCCGGTTTAGCTTTGAATTTAAGGAAAAGGTTTTAAATAGTCCCGAGCTTGGTCCGTATCTAGTTAGTTGCGACGTACCCAAGAGTCTGTACATGCGCGAAATAGGGATATAGGCTTTTCCCTAATTGTGTCGGCGGCCTGTTCTGTACAGGCAAACAATTATTTCCTTGTGTTCACTATTTTTTTTACAAATTCTATAATAACTCTTGAACTTGTCACAACCGCATGTTCTTCCTGATGGTCAAAGGCATACCTTCTAGAAGAAGATTTCGTAAAAATCCCAAATCAACATGAATATCAACATCAACATCAATATCAACATCAACATTAATACCAACATCAACATTAACATCAACATTAGTATCATCAACAACAGTAACAGCAGCAGCAACAATGGTAACATCAGCGGCGACAACAAAAACAACTAAGGCAGTAACAACAGCAGCAGCAGCACCGACATCAACAATAATAACAGCAGCGGCAGAAGCACCGACAACAACAGCAACGACAATAGCAGCAGCAATAACAACGGCAGCAGCAGCAACAAAAACTACAACATTAACACTAACATCAATAAAAACAGCATCAGCAGTAGCTGTAGCAGCAATAACAACAAGGCGTCAGCAGCAACAACAAGAACAGCAACATTATCATTAACATCAACAACAAGGAACAGCAACAGCAACAACAACTAGAACAATCTAAATAGGATATATACAATAACAACAGAAGCTGCAATAAAAGCAATAGCTGCAGCAAAAAAGGAGCAGCAGCACCGACAATAACATCAATAGTATTTCAGCAGCAGCTGCAGGATCAACAACAACAATAACAACAATGATAGCAGAACGATCTGGCACGACAAAATAAAAGTACCAAAGACATAACTACCATAATTTACTAATAATACAGACCTACAAAAAAGATGTTTACATTGAAAGCAGATAGAGTTTTATTCTGTTAATTTGTATGGAAGTCTTCAATACTGGTCCCATACCCAATCATCGCCAAACTAATGACGGTCTTGATGTATTTCAAAATCTTGGAATGGCGAACTTAGTAACCCTATTATCCTTTATCAGAAACCATCTCATAAGGCAATGACCCTATGAAACTGGAAACGGAATGAACAGAGGAATCAATAAACCATAACCCCCTAAATCCAAGCACTTCATAGCCCCATGACCCTATGACACTAGAAAAGCAATGAATAGGATACAGGAATCCAAATCTATTCATTGAATGCCAGTCTCGTAAAGTTACGGGGCTATGGTGTTCTCGACTTTATGAGGTTATAGTGTTTTCTTATAAAGGGTTATGGGGTTATAGGGTTCCAAGGTTAATCTACCGTAAATATCGTGATCATTTGATATCCTGCATCCTATTTACTCCTTTCCCAGTATTATAGGATGATATATTTATTGGAATCCTGAAGTTAGGTGGTTTCTAAGGTTGAGGAGTACTGAGTTCCCTATTGCAAGATCATAGAACCGTCATTAGTAGTAGCTCCTTATACTATCACTCGGATTTTCGAACTTATTGTATTATGTAATTATAAGGTTAGGATATGATATATTTGAGGTTGTAGAGTTTATATGGAAAGCTCATAAAATACCCAGGTTTACCATTTGTAGTCGACGTGAATGGGTGTAGCATCTTGGAATCCACTATTGAGGGCTTTCCAAAGTATATTTCTAACGAATTCCAAAAAATTCTGCAATGTAGGGTCAAAAAGAAGTCGGAGTCAGATTCAGTTTCCGAAAGTATGTAAGAATAACAGGATATTCTGAAAGCTACATACCTGAAGTTAATTTTATTGATATTAATTTACGTACTATATAACAATTATTTTTTTAAAATATATCTACTATAATACATAATAAATAAATAAAAAAATTTTCTATAAATTGTGACTAGTAATTCAATATGGTAGTAATATTTTACAACTAAACTGTAAAAATCTGGTCTTCTTGAGCATATCTTCGTTTTTAAACAGCGAATTGTTCTGTATTATGGGTGCCGTTGCTAGCGGATTGGTTTTTGGGATATATTTTGTTATGCAATAACAGTTTAAGTGTGTGGATAAGGAATGAAAAAAGATGTAAAACTATTATCAAAAGCCCTATCCCCAACACTACTAGAGTAGTTTGATATGGTTTGCCCCAGTCCAGCATAAAATATAAGTATCCTGGACCTCCTCTGAAAAAAAAATGTTATTATATAACTAATTTTGTTTGTAGTAGTATAAAATTTTTATGTCATTGCTTATAAATTATTTTGGAGCTAAGAAATATCAATAATATCGTCGATATTATTGATATTTCATAAAATCAACAGTATCTCAAAAAAATTGTAAAAATTGCTTGATATAGACATATCTTATTGAATATTACATCTTTTATTAGACCTGTTTTAATTCAGTCTTATACGATAAAAGAAACTAACAATGAGAATACTCTTTTCCCAGTAATATACCGTACAACATACAGCTACTCATAATTTAATTGCTGTACTTCGTGCAAAGTTAAACTAGAACTGTTATTATACAGGGTTATCCAAAAGTTCCGGTACGGCAGAAAAACTTTCGAAGAAAGCATTTTGGGAAAAAATTTTTCAGACAGAAGGGTAAGGATTTTTCTCTGGCTATCTGATGGTGACCTTGGATTTGACCATGGCTTTGATATTCAAGGTCATTTAAAGATCAATGCAAACCCCTATTTTTTATTACGAATTTGGAAAGAGCAAGAAATTTTACGTCCAGAAATGGTCTTGACCATGACTTGTTTCAAACAAAAGTGTAAGGAATTTTCCCTGGCTATCTGATGGTGACCTTGGATTTGTCCTTGACAATGACCTTCAAGGACAAATGTGGGTCTACTTCCAAAAGTCCCGGTACGGCAGAACTTTCGAAGAATTCATTTTGGGAAAAAATGTTTCAAACAAATGTGTAAGAATTTTTCTCTGGATATCTGATGGTGACCTTGGATTTGACCTTGACTTTGACTTTCAAGGTCATTGTCCCACATTTAACATTGAAGGTCATTGTCAAAGTCATAGTCAAGACAAAATTTGGATGTAAAATTTCCTGCTATTTCAAAATCCGCATTAAAAAATAGGAGTTCCCATTTAAAAAAGTTAACTTGACATTCAAGTGACCTTGAAGTTCAAAGTCAAGGTCAATTCCAAGGTCACCATCAGATAGCCAGGAAAAAATCCTTACACTTTTGTCTGGAACATTTTTTCCCAAAATGCATTCTTCGAAAGTTCTGCCGTACCGGGACTTTTGGAAGTCAACCCACATATGACCTTGAAGGTCATTGTCAAAGTCATGGTCAAGACAATATTTAGACGTAAAATTTCTTGCTCTTTCCAAACCCGCAATAAAAAATAGGGTTTTCCATTTAAAAAGCTTAACTTGACCTTCAAATGACATTGAAGGTCAAAGTCAAGGTCAAATCCAAGGTCACCATCAGAAGGCCAGGGGAAAATCCTTACACTTTTTTTAGAAACATTTTTTCCCAAAATGCTTTCTTCGAAAGTTTTTCTGCCGTACCGGGACTTTTGTATAACCCTGTATACTTTCTGATTTCAGTCATTTAAAAGTTACGGGTGTTATTTAAAAATACTAGTAAACACCTACCTGTTGATGTCATGGAAATAATAAGCAACGCTGAATATTACATAACAAATTCCAAAAATTAATGGATAGACAAAATGGAGTATGCGAATAGGATGACCAATAATCCACAGATCTATGAATAATATAATCGAATTACTACCATGGACAAAGAAGTTCATAGCTGAGAAATACATACCTGAAATAGAGAATGATAGACTTGTAATTATTTTCTTATACCATGCAAGTAAAGGCAGAACAGATTTGTCACCTCTACATCATATGGCAATATCATTTTTATTGATGGTAATACTTGTAAAATTTAACGTTTAATAAAAAAACGACGACATGCCTGTCTGTAAAGAGTAAAGCAATAATTTTCTTGGTTTATTTGTTTCTGTAGAGTTTTACTATGAATAATCATTTAATTAGGTACTCTTTTTTCCATATACGTAATTAAAATTCAATTGAAATATAACGTAGATATGCTAATTTTATGTAACTGTGATCAATGGTGTCCACGAGTAGGTATTTATTTTTGAATTTTTTTCCTATGCCACCTGAAACAACTACAAAGTTATCAAGTTCACACCACAAATTTTTAGTTTGTGTGCGCAGGAAAATGGTTCTAGATCAGTTTTCAGTGGTAAGTGATGTCTACTTTGACTCATCGATCATCGACAAATTTGAATATTATGGCAACCATTCTTGGGATGTTTTCATTTTAATGTTCAATAAATAACTTCGAAAATACTATTTAACGTTACAATTTTTTGTGTTTGATTTATAACGGGTCGTATACACAATTTTACACACATAAATTTGTGTAAAAAACACAACTAAATAAACACTGATGTAATAATATGTGTGTCATTCAATTCCATTACATTTTTTTAAAAGATAAAGACGTATTTGGTGTTCATTTTGTTTGAGGAATTCAACTTGGATTTTGCTTACTGTATTAAGTTTGTTTCTCCAGGTAGCCTTTTGCTATAGAGGAAGATTTCTATCACGGTGTCTATTAAAATAATAACATCACCGCCCCCATTTGTTAGCATCTGAGAGTTGTAAATGACTCCTATCAAGATGCAAACCTTTTACTGAATTTACAATAAACAATCTGGCCGTATTCGTTTTGGTTTTGTGGACATTATTATATTACTAAGTTTTGTAGCATTTTTCAATGCACAGGGATCAGACAGAAGAAAAAACAAGGATTGTCATTTTAGAATAACAGTGAGTTAAATTTTAATTAAATTTAAATATTACTATCTAATTATTCCGCATGTATGCTTTTTTACAATAATATGATTAATTGCAACAAAACTGTAAATAACTGCTTCAACATATCTTGATCAATTATTGTCGAAATAAATACAGGGTGTGGCGTGTATACTCTATAAAAGTTAAATTACAGCTTCCTGATGATATTTGTAATAGAAAAGTCTTATACGAAAAAGTTCTATCTTCACGTTTTTTTTTTTTGTAAATTGGAAATTTGTTCATTTATTCAACGAAAATGAAGGCCAGCCCTGTATTATTTATTAAAAACTTTGGAAATGTTTTTATGCGACCCGAGATACGTTCCTTATAATAATTTAAATCGGTATAATGTAATAGGTACTAGTAATCCTAAAAGAAAGTTAGGTTACATTGTTAAAAATTTTCTGCAGTCAACTGATTTTGTATTTATATTGAATTCATTATTCACTTAATTATTAAATATTAAGCATCGTCCATCGACCCATCAGTGACCCCTCAATAGTGAAAGATTCCAGACAAAAGTTTTTATTTTGTAATTCCACGATAGTGATAGCACAGACAAAATAGCTATCGCCACAGACCGCTCCTGGAATAGGCCAGCAGTTTTAAATTTCCGAATTGCCGGTAGAGTACACCACCAGCAGAATTTTAGGAAGAATCAAATACAGCGGCCCGCATACCTAAGCGTATCCTAGCAACATATAAACAAGACTTTGGTAATGTTGCCAGGCGTACTTACGGATTTCTTTTGTACACTTTTTTATCAATGTCTGTTTTTTGCGTTACTGTATTTACTTCAATGTATGATGTAGGTATTGATAAAAATGTTTTTAAAGAATCAACGAATATCTATGTATGTATCATATGATATTCTGCAGTGGTGTTACAATTAAGTTATTTAATCATAATTTCGTTAATTAGCTACCTACTATTTTCATTTTTTGGTATTGAAATACTGCAGAAAATATATTTCCAAATAAACAAAATTCGTAAT